CGCACTCCGGGTATCTTTCTGATCATTGCTATTATCCGAACACAAGCCAAAGAATTCGACAACGTCGTCCCCGAAGTGCCACAGCTATGAGACCGAGTATGTTTGATATGTTTATTCATTTTCTTTAGCATGCACATTTCCAGCCTCAATTATGGAGTTACAGTGACAGCTTCCGAGATGGGCGCATCACGGCCTTACTATGGTAATTTACCAGAACCATTATGGAATGATGTGGATATTGCTCAGGAAGGAAGGTTTGTTACAACATTATGTAAATTATTTTAGTTTTGTAAGGGGCGATCATCAGATCACCGTTTGTTCACTTATCTGATCATTCCTTATTCATTTTTTTTTGAAAATTCTTTGCCAGTAGTTTTAACTCAAAAACAAAAAGAGGAACGGTAAGAACTTGAGCAGATCGCTTGAGAACGGGAAATGAAATCATTACATTTTCACACGAAAACCGTGCAACCTGTCCTGATACCTGCAGAAACTCATCTTGTAGTCATTTTCTTCCAACTGCCTAGTAACGCTCTCGCAATCTTTTATTGTTGGCCTTTCTTCAATCACTATGTTTTATGATTGCGAGTGCGCGCAAATGTTGATCATCAATAATCCTAATTACGCCTTGAAAAGTTAGCCTCCTTTTTTGCAGAAATATTCCGCAAGGTATGTTACCTTATGGAATAACCGACATGCGTCCAATGAACGGCCAATCAGCAGTTGAAATGCCGGAGCAAGATCCACAACAAGGGTATGGATCAGATGGAAGCGAAACTATGAGCACGCATTCGGCACATTCAATTCCAGCCGTCAGGTTGGACTGTCAACTTCTCGAACTTCACAAACTTTTTTGAGTAGCTCGTTACTATTCCAGAACCATCAATCGCCGTCCTCCATCAGAAAATGAGGTGAACGATATGCCGGAAACATCCGTTGAAGAGTATCAGCCTGAAGATGTACAGTCTACATCGGGCGTTGCTCCGAAAATGTCCATGGCGGGACAAGTGATGAAGGAACGCAAGAAAAGCATAATGACACGGTTTATTCCTGGAAAGTCTGGTGGCACCGGTATGTGTCAAAACATGTTTGTTCAAATTTCATTTGAACCATATAAGCATGTTGCAGAAGGAAAACGCACCGGGTTTTTACGGTCTGAAGAAGTAGGAATCCCCGGGAACCTAGCGATCAACCGCGCACAACAGCAACAGCAGCAATTTGTAAAACAAGCGAGCAAAGAATCTACAGATTCGGGCTCTGACAAGTACGTGTTTTCAACAGTGTTAAGTTGGAAAAAAGGCCAGGTTGTGAAAAGTGTAGTAAATAGTAAGTCAACAATATAACCTACGAGCTATGGTCTACTCGAGACTGCAGATGGTAAATTACTTTAATGAAACCTCTAGCAGTCGCACATCTGCTTGTGAATAGAGCATAATGCAAAACCTATATTACTATGTTTCACCTCTGTTCTTATCCTTTTTCTTCCAGTTGGTTGCCTGTTCTGCCAGATGGTCCGCTCGGCACCTTTGTCGAAAATCTTGGGCCAGGACAAGTGGTCGGGCGGCAAGTGCTTGCGAGTCCATTGCTGGGAGAGATTCAAGTTGGAATAATGGCAGGACGTTCGGGCATTGATGTAGAAATAATTAGGGCAAAGAATCTTGTGATTAAACCCGGTGTTAAAATGAGTCCAGGTAAATACTGGAAGTAACTGTGCGACTTGTTCGTGAGCCCATTCTATCCGTTCCAGCTCCGTATGTGAAAGTGTATTTAATGGAAGGAAAAATGTGTGTGGCGAAGGCAAAGACGAATCCAGTCAGGAAAACTACTGCTCCACTTTTCCAGCAACATTTGATATTTAATGATAATCCTAGGCGGAAAATGTTACAGGTGAGCATTCGTGATTCCCACCTTTGCAACGTCGCTCATGTCTCAGTGTCCGTGTTCAGATTACTGTACTTGGTGATTATGGAAGAATGGAGAGGAAAACATTTATGGGTATTGCCTTGATTCGGTTAGATGACCTACGTTTGGGCTCAGAACCGGTGATCGGATGGTACAAACTCTATCATAGTTCATCGTTGGCTGGAACGGGCCCTGTACGAAAGGATTCAGAAACATCATTAGCTGGACCAAACATGTTACATTACTGAAGCACATGGATGGTGTAATTAGGAATTTGATCTCTATATTTATCCTCGCCAAATGAAAATTTTTCTTGATTCTGTGGCATCTGAGAAGCTTACAGGCATAGAAGGAAGCAGCTGATCATTGTCGGAAGTTAAACGTAAGTGGTACAAGGGCTCACCATTACAATCATCTCCTCGAA